AAAAAAATGTAGCTAAATCGGTTCAGTAGTTTCTGAGAAAAAAATTCCCAAGTGGACCCCATTTTCGCCAAAATGGGCAAAAATTGCAAACTTTGACGACCTGTCATTCATTAACAAATTCGAAACCGGCAAAATGATGACGTAAACCCCCCCTAATTTCACATGGACTACAATATATTTCGATTAGAGCAAAATCGGAAATGGTGACTTCCAAAAGTGATCGATTTGGCGTGGAATGACCCATATAAAAGCTGGATGAACATAATATTTACAAAATAATCAACAACATTATGTTAAACTTTGCCCGGAAAAATAGACTTTAAAAAATGTTCAACTTTGGAGGCTCATATCTTTGAAATGGTAATAATAAAATCATTTAAAGTACGAGAACATTACGCAGATTCCTTATAAACTACTTCCACTAAACGGATTTCAAGAATTGCAATTTTCATTTTTCGACTTTTGTCCACGTTTTCGCCGTTTTTCGCCACTGTGCGACGACGAAACACGGAGGTGGAAGTGTAATGGTGTGGGGATGTATTGCTGCTTCTGAAGGCGGCAAATTAGTAAGAGCAGATAAAATAATGGATAAACATTTATATTTAGATATTTTAAAAGAAAATTTACAAAATATTGCAGATAAATTAGAATCATTAGAAGATTCATGAATTACATAAATTTTATTTTTGGCAAGACTGTGACGCGAAACTTACAGCCTATATGTATAGTGCGCCAGTGGTTGTTAATACCAATACTCTCCACAGGTTAGCAACTTCCCCACAACTGCTTAACTTAAATCCTATCGAACATATATGTATCGAAACTAGAAAAAGATGTGCGAAAACATGATATAACGTTGAAAGAACACTCGAAAGAAATATTAAAAAGAGAATGGTGTAATATAGAACCTGACTTCGTTAAAAGTTTGGCGTTGTCAATGCCCGATATATGTATTACGTGAAGTGATTCGCCGGAAGGCTTAACATACAAAATGTTAATTTATAAAAGTCGTGTTAAAATAATTGTAACATTAATTAAGTGTATGTTAGAAAATTCGCAGTAACCCATCCTAATAAAGCAGGGACGACAGGCACACGGCCGTCCTACGACGACCACCATGGGCCTCGACAAACAACCCTGGGGCCTCAAGTTTCGCGGGGACTGGGAAACCCCGCGGAACGGGAAGAGAGCATTCTTTTACAGACCTTTGAAAGACATCCTTCTCTCTAGGACACTACTTCGCCCACGGAATCGGCTTATAGAAAATATATAATATTTTTGAAATCAAACTTAGCTGGCGTTTCAATCATTTTCTACCTCGTCTTACATGTACGAATACTTTTGTCCCAGTGATTTCTTGTAGCCTCGTGAATTTCAAGTCATTTCAAGTTACTACGTGATGTTGTTGTTTTCGGTTTTTTGGGTCATTTGTCGCTGGAAGTGTAATGTTTAATATGCAGCTATGTATCATTAAATATACTTAATAATATAAAAAATATTGTTTTTTTTTGTTTTTATATTTGAAGTGTACGAATATTTTTGTTCTCCGTTATATATTTTGGTCATTATTGTAAGAGTGACGGTGGCCAGAATCGATTTAGGGCCATCGTAAAATAGGAAACCACTCTGAGACCCTTAGCATGGTTCGGGACAGAGTTGGTGCAACATTCGGTCGCACTCTCCCTCTCGTCAATTGATATTTATCAAGCCCCGGCGATGTTGAGTTCTTCCCAAAAAGTGGGGATGCGTTCGCCATAAAACCTTCGAAAAAGCACAAGGACGAGGCATTACGTTGGCTAGTTTAAAGAATATCGAAGAGAGAAGTTGGACGATAATAATATTTGTAAATTCTGTGTGAAGTTATAGTTGTCTTTCCGCATAGTTATTAGGTCGAGTCATAAGTAACTTCCGTTTTTTTATCAGACATTTATTTCGTTCTCATTAAACAACAAAATTATATTATTTTATTATATATTCACCACTATTTTCTATAACCTTCTCCCATGTTCCTGGTAGTTTATCAATTCCTTCCTTGTAAAATGTGGTTGGTTTGGACTGGAAGAAGCTTTCAACAGCCTGCCTGACTTGCTCTTCAAGTTGCTCATTGAAGGTTTTTCCATTTAAAAAGTTTTGTAAGGAACAGAAAAGGTGGTAGTCTGTCGGGGCAAGATCTGAGGAGTAAGGTGAATGTGGTAAAACAGACCATCCAAGCTCAAGAATTTTTTCTTGAGTCACCCTTGCTGTATGCGGTCGCGCGTCGTCGTGTAAAAGAA